AATTTAGCTAAATTAGAATTTAGCTAAAGAAATATGTACAAAGTCTTGGAAGGATTTAGGAATACAAATAAGGAATTTCTATGTGTTTATAGGAATAAATGACTACTTAGAGTTATTAACACTGAATAACCTTTTACCAAACCAAAGTAACAAAGGGAAGAAGTCATATTGGAAAGAAGAAAGAGAAAGAATGTCTCTCTACATAAGGCAGCTTTCAGGAGCTCTGATCTTTGGTTGAGCAACATAGGCAGCTTCATGTGTGTTGGCTGAGAGGGAGCTGGAGGAACATATTCCAAAATAGCTGTGTTCTACTCACTGTCTTGATATCTGTACCTCAGTTGAACAAAACCAGAAACCAATTATCAAGGAATCATCTTGATTCTTCCTTTAGATGAATGACACAAAATATAAACCATTAAACAAAATGTATGGGAGGTTATTCTTTTGGACTGAGCACCCATTTGGCCCTAACAGAACAGACCAAACCCAAATGTAGTCACTCAATCTCAATTCCACATAATCAGACTAAAATGTGAGGTATATAGATCAATTCCAAAACAGACTAGTTTTTCCTGAAAAGGAATTCTGGTCAATCTGAAGTCAGCATAATAGGGCAATGTTCCTTAAAAAAAAAGAAAATAAAAAGTAACCTAGAGTGACATATGACAATAAATCAACTGTTTCTATTTTTCTCTTTGCTTCTTCCCAAATCATAAAACACACTCTTCTATTTTTGTGCAGTGAGAGCTCTTATTGTATTTTGTAGAAGGTAGGGTGCACTGATTCATGAATCATGAACAAAGCTAAATCAATCTATATTTAAATTTGTTATTTTGGTTTTTTTGACATATGACATATATTGAGATACAGAATGGACTTGGAGTAGAAGAGGAGAATAGGGAATATTCAGTACATACATAATGAAAAAATATGACAGTAATGATTATCCTTAAAGAAGAGATTATGAATCAAAGAAGGAAGTTCCAAAAATGAAAACTCTCCATTTGTGTCTATAATTTGTATTTGAATTAGTTTTTCAAAATAATATGCTCATGAAGTTTGTAATTTTTATATTTGAATGTTATCTACATTTGCCTGTATTATATAGTTTGCACATCAAATGATTGCCATTTCACCTACTTGTAAAACCTTTAATGTTTTGAAGTTTTTTTCGTATTATTTGTTTCCTACTCATTAAAAAACCTTTTTATTGATGCAACACATTGTTGAATGCCTTTATTCTTATGACTAGAAATAATTGAATCTAATGTGACATATTCTGAGATTTAATGGAGTAAAATATTCAAAGATGCCTGGTATCAATTCTCCATAATCATTTAGTCCGATTGGCTCTGGTCTTGTAGTATACTATTTGTTTTATTTGTTATTATCTATATTATTTAAAATCAAAGTCTAGTGTGATGGGAAATTGAATGAGTTTATTGCAAATACATCTAACAAGAGATTTGCTCCTCACCTCAGTTCAGTAGATAACTAATTGTTCATAAGAAACAGTCCCACAGGGATCTCTGTCCCCAGGAACTCTTTCTACTAACTCATATGAGATAAGGAAACATGAATATAGTGTCCCAGGGACCTCAGACACAGCATATAAATAGAACTCCCACAAAACATTCTGGGTATTTTCTAATATTTTTTTCCTAACAGATTCTTTTCCTTTTTGGACCTGTATCAGCTAAAAACAAACAGTTCTGAAACTCATATATAAAGATGCAACCATGGACTGTAGTTTTAAAAATTCAAGTGTGTTCCTTTACAAATTTGTTTTTATTAAAAAATATTTTTGAACATAAGGTGAGAAAAAAGACATTTGTTTTTAAAGGTTCATGAATTCTTTGGAAAGTTTGGGCTGTGGGTAGATTTTCGGGCCTCATGGTGCCTATGCATGTATGAAGCAGAGAGAACTTAATTTCAGGAAGCTTTTTGTAAACCTTGGAAATATCTTGTTCAGTGGCTCTAGGAACAAACAGATTGCTCTTTTTAATTAATTTTTTCTCAATGTGTCATTTAAAGCATTAAAATAATTTAAAATTTCATAGAGTATTTCTGACAGATATTGCTTGAATGATATATGAAGCTTTCATTCACTCATGAAACTATAAAAATGTATCATTTAAAAATGTTTGGTCAATAGTCATATTAACTTCTTGTGTTTCAGGGATATTGGTTTCAGATGAAAATGACATTGATTTCTTTGTGTCATCCTTTTTTCACTGTAAAGCTAAAAAGTCTTATAAGAACAGATAAAATACTATGTGTTATGAAAATGAAGAATGTGAATAAGCAACACTAGAAAAAATGTGAGGAAAGATACAAAGAAGAGGTCAACAGGAACAGACTGGCAATTTATTAACATGATTTTTAACATTTTTATATAAATGGATTCCTATGTAATGAGATAGGAATGGAAAATCACTAGAAGCAGAAGAACAAAACAGCAGATGGGATTCCAAGAGATAAAATAATGAAATATGAGCATGAATATGAAAAGATGAGATCCAAGAGTATAATTACAGAGCTTTTAGTACATGTCAGAGTAAATCAAATAGACTAATCACATCTTCACTGATATATTGAGGGAAATAGCCAGAGAAATGAAGGGCTCAGGGGTAATCTCCATTCACAGATAAAGCTACATTTAAGGTGAATTATAAGAACAAAATTCTAAATAATACAGATATCTTAAAAATTGAAATTAAACTGGAGGGATTATTTGTCTTAATTGTTATAAGTAATTAATTGTGGAAGGAATCCTGGAGGATAAAACCTAAAATAAATTGAAGGTTGGTAAGAATAGGAAACTATAAAATGTAGGGTTAGAGAGGTAGCTCAGTGGTAGAATGCTTGTCTAAGATCCACAAGGCCCTGGGTTTGATCCTAAACACAACAAAAACAAAGAGCTATTGCTTGAAAGATGTAAAATGTGAAAATAAGTATTCCCAACAAATAGGCAATATGGTATTCAATGAATTCTGACCATGCTTATTTCATTTTATGCCTACAACATAGGATTTTCACCTGAAAAAGAACTTGGACCAAGATTGTTTCAAAATTAGTTGTGTTCATATAACATCTAGCATAAGTCAAGCTCAAATAAAATATAGAGGCCACAAAACGTTCAATAAATATTTCTAGAATACACGTTTTCTTTGAAATCTTAAAAGTTCATATTTAGAGTCTCTATATTTCACTACCTCATTTAAGGTATTAATTGCTTTTTGAACTTTAGAAGCTTCTAGTTATTAGCACACAATAGAAATCAATAACTAACAACATCCTGAAATATGGGCACCATAATATTTTTGTTATGTGGTTTGGAGGTATGTACTAGATGATTTAAGAAGTGTGTTTATTGGAGTGTTTGGCACACAGGGTGCATTAAAGGTTAGTTGCGATTATTGCTTTAATATTTTTGTTACACACTTCAGAATCAGGATACTCTATAATCAAAAGTCAATGTTTACACAATAGCTCTGAGTAGTTATGTGTGAATCCACTCAGGATAGCTTTGAGGATTTAATAAAATAGAGAATATAAAAATTGTGCCTTCTAATCTTAAGCATGTAATCTGATAAACTTTAATCACTACTTGACTGGCAGAATAACTGAAATTTTGTCATATCAACGCTGTCTCAACTCTCCATATGAGCAGTCTCCATTTTACAAAGATTAGGGATTTTATGGACTATATTTCACCACTGACGAAAAAGAAAAATATAAATTTTAAAACCTACTTTACTTCATTTTCCTTTCTCAAAATACTCCTTTACTCAGCTAACGAATTTTGTTGTTTTTATTGTGTCTTTTAGCTGAGAAACAGACATATGTATGTACTTGAAATGTGAAATGATTGGTGAATTTGAATAAGTCTCTGGGGCCTGAACTGGGATATTGAGGTTTCTCCTGACAGCAGTTATGTGTAGTTCAAAAAATATGGTTGTAGCCATGTATAATCAGTCAATTACTTATCATTTTTCAAATGCTCATACTTAAATAGGATAATATTATGTTTATTTTATAATGGAAAGTCCCTTATAAGGATAAATTAACTAAAATTTAATATAAAACTTAAATGCTCAAAGTTTGAACTTATCAGTTATGTGAGAAAAAGCACATTGAAAATCTATTCTGTTTGTTTGTTTGTTTGTTTTGCAGTAGTGGAATTAAAACTAGGGGTCCTCTACCACTGCATTACATCCCAGTTCTTTATATTTTTAAATTTTGACACAGGCTCTCCATAGGTTACCCTTGTTGACCACAAGCCTGCACTCCTGCTATCTGAGCCTCTCGAGCACATGGTGTTATAGGCCTGCACCAATACACTGGACTGCAAAACCAAACTTTTAAGCAGTGGAAAATCTTAACTGTCTCAATTTATACTTAAAAAAAACTGATGTTAAAAATATTTGAAACTTTCACTCAATTCTAAAAGGCTAAGAAATAGTTGATTCAACACAGTCTTCTTACTATGCATGGAGGTAATATAATTATTCAATTAATTATTTGAATTAAATAAGGATTATCTTGTTTTTCATAGGGCCAGGTATTTTCCACCTACTTCTTTTGCTATTGCTTGAATATGAGGTACCTCATATCCACTGGCAGTCGTATGTCTAAGTAAAAATATTCAGATTCTATTGTCCCATGACACATTGTTAGAAGTCTCTAAAACATAGTCACATCCACTTCTCCTTGCATCTTTATCAGTACTCCAGGACATATTTATTGTCAGACTGATTAAATATAGGAGGAATTTCAGTTTTAGAAATGTAATTTTACATGTTGAAAGTAACTTCCTTTAATTTGTACTGATGTGAAAGGTAATTTGGTCACCTGGCATAACATCATTTATATTATTTGCCCCATATGTAACTGCATGCCATCATATGTGAATGGATTGCCAATATTGAACTATGTTTCAACATTTCATAACTCTCTTTTTGACACTTTCTTAATACAGGGGAAGCAAACTGAAGAGAATGGCACTCATTAATGAAAGCCACCCAGAAGAGTTCATCCTACTAGGCTTTGATGACCGCCCTTGGCTAGAGCTTCCTCTGTTTGTTATTCTTCTCATAACATACCCAATGGCCATGATGGGAAACATTGCCATCATTCTGGTGTCCAAGTTAGATCCCAGTCTCCACAGTCCCATGTATTTCTTCCTCACCAACCTCTCTTTCTTGGACATGTGTTACACCACAAGCATTGTGCCTCAGATGCTATTTAACCTGGGTAGCTCTAAGAAGACCATCAGCTATGTGGGGTGTGCAGTTCAGTTGTTTCTTTTCAGTACAATGGGAAGCACAGAATGTCTTCTCCTGGCTCTCATGGCTGTTGATCGCTATGTGGCCATCTGCAGGCCTCTGCACTACACCCTTATCATGAATCAGCACATCTGTATCCTGTTAGTGTCCATTATGTGGATAAGTGGAATTACTTATGGTGTCTTTGAGGTCACTCTAACATTACAGTTGCCACTATGCGGCATCAATAAACTGGATCACTTGTTTTGTGAGATTCCAGTTCTGATAAAGACTGCCTGTGGGGAAAAGGAGGCTAATGAGTTTACACTCTCTCTGGTATGCTCTTTTTTAATAGCTGTTCCTCTATGCTTAATTCTTGTCTCCTATGTGAGTATTGGACATGCCATATCTAAGATTAAATCTTCTGAAGGAAGGAAAAAGGCTTTGGGGACATGCTCCTCTCATCTCATTGTAGTTTTCTTATTTTATGGCCCAGGCATTAGCACATACATTCAATCCCCCTCTTCCATCTCGAGGGATCAACCCAAGTTCATGGCTCTGTTCTATGGAGTGATGATTCCTACAATCAACCCATTCATCTACACACTGAGGAATAAGGATGTGAAGGGAGCATTAAACAAACTTATGATGGGCATTTTCAGATGCTAGTGATACTTGGTAGACATCAAATTAAATTATTTAACAATTAGAGTAGGGGCATATGGATCTCTGACACCTACGTCTAATTCTCATAATCCTATCTCATGTTACAGGTTCTTCTTGAAAAGCATGTGATATTTTTTATATTCTTTATAATCTATGGTAAATGGGATGATATTTAGCCAATGTTCACCAACATCACCTATTTGTTGTGAGATTATATTAAAATAATTCTATTCTGGTTGCTATGCTCTGAGACAATTTTGTTAAGTAATTTAAAAACTAACAACATAAGTTATATCATATATTGAATAGTTGTTTTAGTCAGATTTTTCATTGCTGTGACCAATATAATTGACATGTACAATTTAGAGGAAGGAAAGCTTATTTGGTGCTCATAGTTTCAGAGATCTCAATCCATAAACCATCAAAAATAGGTCCATGGTGAGGCAGGGAATCATGGGGGAAGGATATAGTAGAGGGAGACTGCTTCCCTTGTTGCATAAACAAAACAGAGGGAGAAGAGGGAAAAGGAAGATGAATCCTTTCAGGGATGGCCCCCAATGACACACCTCCTCCAGCCATTCCTCTCCTACCTATTGTTATCACCCAGTCAGTCCATTCAAACTATGATAATTAGGTTACATCTTTCACAATTCAATCATTCTACCTTTCAAAATGCCTGCATTAATACAGGAGCTCAGGGAGACACCTCATATCCAAACTATAACAATAGATTAAGCAAGTAATCATAACAATAGCACAGGAATGCAGTTAATGAGCTCAGTTTAAATGAAAACATTTTATCAGTCTCCTCAAATATGGCCCAGGATTATGTACAGACTGGCTACACTCTGCAGTCTCTGTGAAGCAGTCTATGCTTTCACAGAATCCTGAATCTCATGATTGATTAACCTCAATTTATGCAGATGCCATTGCTTAATGAATATGTTATATATTATTTATTATTTTATATTGTATATAATATTTTAAAATATTAAATATTTTAATATACAGCTTAATCCATTTTAGTGGGTAAAATAGAGAGATATTTCATTAAAAAAAATGAGTCCTCTGAATTAGTGAGAGTAAAAAGAAGTTATATTTATTGGCAATCTGGCAACATTTCTGTGCATAAATTGGAATAGTCAGGAATGCCTTTTGAATAGGAAAGAATTGCTTGCAATCACTGCAGAGTATGCTTTACAGCCAATTGTAGGACTTTTTTTCTATTTCTATGAAGAAAGTCATTGGTATTTTGATGGGAATTGCAATGAATCTATAGATCATTTTGGGTAGTATAGTCATTTTAACAATATTAATTCTCTAATTCATAAACATGGAAATTTTTTTCCTTTTTATGTACTTTATAATTTTTACCAATGTTTTATAATTTTTATTATAGAGATCTGTTGCTTCATAATTAAACTAATTCCTAAATACCTTTATTTTTTTACAGCTATTACAAATTAAATTGCTTTTTTTGCAACTTAATTTGTAACTCTGCTTTTGCTATATGTGAATGCTGCTTTTTTTTTCCTGTATGTCGACTTTGTATCTGCAACTTTACTGTGTTTATCAGTTCTAATATCTTTTGATGATTATATAGCTTTCTCTATGTAAAAAATCATATCATATGCAAACATTGATAATTTAACTTCTTTCCAATTTGGATACACTGCATTTATTTTCTTGCATAATTGCTCTTATCAAGACTTCCAATACTATATTAAATAAGATTGGTAAAAGTGAGTATCCTTATCTCACTTCAGATCTTTGAGGAAATGTTTTTAGCTTTTCCCCATTTGATAGGATATTAGTAGTAGATTTGTTATTTACAACCTTTAATACATTAAGGTATGTTACTTCTGTACCTAACTTGTTGAGGATTTTTTATGTTAAATCTTATGAATACTTTTCTACATTCATTGAGATGATCATTTACTTTTGCTCTTTATTCTGTTGATGTGTAGTATCATGTTTGTTGTTTTTTATATGTTTAACCATCATTGCAGCCATTTGATCATGGTGTATAACATTTTTGAAGTACTGTTGAATTCAGTTTGCTAGTATTTTGTTGAGAATGTTTTGCATCTATTTTCATCACGAATTTAAATTTGTAGCATTTTTATTGTTGTATCTTTGTCTGATTCTTGTATCAGGATAATGATTACTTCATAAAAGAGTTTCTCAGAGGTCTTTTCATTTCACTTTCTTAGAATAGTTTCAGAAAAAATTAAATTAATTATTCTTTAAAAGTTTTGTAGAATTAGCAGGAGAAACATCATGTCCTGACATTTTTAGATGGGAAATTGCTTCAGTCTCATTATTGCCTGTTTTGATTTCCTTTTTGATTCAATTCTAGTAAGTTGTATGTGTTTGGGAATTTATCCATTTATTCTAAGTTTTACAGTTTTTTTATTGTTGTTTTTGTTTTTTGTTTGTTTTGGGCAATGCTGAGGATTGAACCTAAAGTTCATTTTAGGCAAGTATTCTATCACTGAGCTATATCCCCAGCCCTAGGTTTTACAGGTTTGTTTGTTTGTTTGTTTGTTTTTAAGAGAGAGAGAATTTTTAAATATTTATTTTTTAGTTAAGAGAGAATTTATATATATATATATATATATATATATATATATATATATATGTTATCGGCGGACACAACATCTTTGTTTGTATGTGGTGCTGAGGATCGAACCCTGGTGGCATGCATGCCAGGCGAGTGCACTACTGCTTGAGCCACATCCCCAGCCTTGTTTTACAGGTTTTAACATATAACTCTTCATAGTGTATCTTATGGTCCTTTGCATTTCTGTGGTATATGTGGTCTCTATTTCTCTCTCTGATTTGTTTTCTCTCTCTTTTTTCTTAGTTAGTCCACTAAATTCATACCAGCTTCATTAATCTTTTTAAAAAACCAACTCTGCTTCATTGATCTGTATTGTTTTTTTCTTTTTTTATTATTATTAGTTGTTCAAAACATTACAAAGCTCTTGACATATCATATTTCATACATTTGATTCAAGTGGGTTATGAACTCCCATTTTTACCCCGTATACAGATTGCAGAATCACATCGGTTACACATCCACGTTTTTACATACTGCAATACTAGTGTCTGTTATATTCTATTGCCTTTCCTATCCTCTACTATCCCCCATCCCCTCCCCTCCCATCTTCTCTCTATACCCCATCTACTGTAATTCATTTCTCTCCCTTGTTTTTTACCCCTTTCCCCTCACTTCCTCTTATATGTAATTTTGTATAACAATGAGGGTCTTCTTCCATTTCCATGCAATTTCCCTTCTCTCTCCCTTTCCCTCCCACCTCTCGTCCCTGTTTAATGTTAATATTTTTCTCATGCTCTTCCTCCCTTCTCTGTTCTTAGTTGCTCTCCTTATTATGTTCTGATTTTTATTATTCCTTTTTTCTGCAACTTTATATTTGGTTTGTTCTTGCTTTTCTAAGTACTTCAGATATATCATTAAGTTTATTTGAAATCTTTCTATTTTTCCAATGTATACATTTATTGCTATGAACTTTCCTGTCACTACTGTGCTATAGTTCACAGATTTTGATATATTGTTGTTTTATTTTCATTTGGATTCAAGAAATTTTATTTCTTTTTACTTTCTTCAATGTCCCATTGGTAATTTAGGAGCATATTATTCAAATTCCATATATTTGCTTATTTTCTATTATTCTTATTTTTTATTTATTTTTTATTTCAACATGGTCTGAGAAGATATGCTATTTCAACTCTTTTAAATTAACTAAGACTTGATGTGTTGACTAATATATGATTTATCCTGGAGAATATGACACATGCTGATGAGAAATATGTTTTCTGATAATGTTGGATGAAATGTTCTAAATGTCTGTTAGATCCATTTGCTCTGTAGTATGATTCAACATAGATGTTTCTTTGTTGACTGTCTGTATTGTCTCTTCACTGAGTAAAGTGAGATGTTGAAGCCTCCAACTATTATTATATTGAAGTCTCTCTCTCCTTTCAGATCTAATAATATTTGCTTTATATATTTGGGTGGTTTCATGTTGGGTGCATATGTATTTTCAATTATTGTATCTTCTTGATCAATTAATCCTTTTATCAATATCTGTATGTTCTCTTTTTTACTTTTTTATTTAAAGTCTGCTCTATCTTTTGTGAGTATACATATTTCTGCTCATTTTATTTATTTCTATTTGCATGGTATATGTTTTTCAAGCCTTTCATTTATAGTGTACCTGTTTTTACCAGTGAAGTAAATTTCTTATAGGCAACATGTAGAGACTGATTTTAGAATATCCTAGAAACACACCAGTATCAAACATCATGGGATTTCAGGATGTCAGCCAGGACAGTCCTGGACTTATGGGATTCCTCTGTTGCAGTGGCTATAGTGACTTTGTGCATAGATACAATTTCAGAATATCTGTTGGAAATTTATGGAGAAATACAGTTTAAAGACATTCCCAAAGTCAGTCTGTGAAAACTCAAATAAGTACCTACTTTTTCAAAGCATAGGCATCAACATATAACCACAGGATCATGAACAAGCAGGACAATAAGACATCTCCAAAAACACAAAATAATGTGCCACAAACTGACCCTAAAAAGATGGAGATATATAATATGCATGACAAAGAATTAAAATATTTGTTTTAAGAATGCTAAGTGAAGTTTGAGAAAATAAAGAGAAAGAATTTAAAGAAAAAAATAAGTAACTAGACCAAAACTGTAATATAAAGGATATAATAATTAAAGTCAAAAAAGTATCCTGGAAGTGAAAAATACAATAAAGAAAATGGAGAATGTAATAGAAAGAATCAACACAAGAAATAGTCAAACAGAACAAATCTGTGAATTCAAAGTCAAGGTAATAGAAAACATGGAGACATATATTTAGGTCAAAATGGGTTCTACTGACATGTATAACTAAAAAGAACTAATAAAAAAGAAAATATGTAGACATAGGAGAAAAAAGAAATAGGATAAAATGGAAATAA